CGAGTCGCGTTCTGGAGCAAATAAATAAAAAATCATGAAATTCGTGTGACGTAATTTCTGGATGACCCCTAAAGTAGTGAGTTGTATTGTAATAAGGGCCGGATCTATTGATAAAATCGACAAAACTGAGCAATTTTGTCGATTTTAAACTCTTATAAACCATGTTCAGAAACCACAAAAAATTTTGTAATTTAGTCACAATTGGTACTTGATGAGTAACTCAATTTCCTTTCTTTTTATTGTAAGCAAAAATTTTGTATGTATTTGATAGGTTACATTTTGTTAAAAGGTATGATGGGGTTGGCATATCAAAGATAAAAACCCCTTAAATAAAAACAGATTAAAAAAAAAACTCTTATAGAATAGAAACGTTTGTAGGGTAAGCTGTCAACTAACATTTCATTCCAATTACATATGTATGAGCCCTCTAGATAGCAAGAGTGTTTATGACAGCAATTCCGAATCTAAGTAGTTCCTTGGGACAGTAGGCGTTACAGAACACTATAATTCAGCCTGAAACGTATCTGCACGGAACTTAAATGCCTCCCTCCATGCAAATGTTAGCAACCAATAAAATAAAATTCAGGACGTGCCTCTGAATGTATTTACATTTTTTACTAACGGAAAGGTTGCCATTAATTTACAAATGTTGCCAGTACCTATGATGTAAAAATAAAGCACTTTGTAAGGCTTAAATGTTGCCAGAGTAAATACCGTTAAAATTGAGTAAATAATACCAATTTTCATTTAATGGTTTCTGCTGAAAAATGTTTTATTTCGATTGAAGGACAAATTGGGATTCGGATTTTTTTGTTTGAACTGGTGTTTTCCCTCTTTATTGAAGGGTTTGACTTCATTTTAGGTAAAACACGTTTCTTTGCTTGAAAAGGGCTATAAATTTGGCTGGGCAACTGGCTGACGCGCAAAATGTCGCGGGTCCACACATTTTTGCTCCGGGTCTGTGAACTTGTATGTTAGTAAATGCACCCGCGACTACGTACACTTGGAATAGTGATTCACAGCTCCTCACCCGTAGTTGATAGCATGATAATATGTAGCCTATATGTTGACCCGACCTGTTGGTAATATTTATGCAAAATTTGAAGTCAATCCATGAAACACTTTTTATGTTTATCACGGACATACATACAGACAAAAATATACTTATTAACTATATTTTTGGTTTCGGTATCGACTGTAGATCACGCTATCATTCTATTAAAAAAATATTCGATGTACTGTTTTCACTTTCTTACGATTTTATTATATGTATAGAAGATAGGGACTATTTTGTGCTTATATACCTATACCTTAAACCCTGGGTGATAAACTCGTACAGAACATGTGAAAATCAATACATAGGTAAGTGTCCAGTACGTTTGCACCGACACCAGATGTAATTAATCTACGTGAGCGCCATCTATCTCGCGGTTAGCTGCGAACTCTCCTGTTGGCATTCCCCTATAATAGTTTACAATTAGGAACCACGGCGGAGATTCTACAACTAAGTATTTGCAATATTAACCTGACAGTAATTTAAATTAAAGACTCTGTTGGTTAGATAAATTGCTTCGTATGTTGTTTTCTTTTTCTTTGTTATGGACATTCTTTACATAAGAATGTTTGCCATAAACAGCACGTCAGGGGATCGCAGCTTAAAAAATTACACAAAAACAAGGTCTACGTTGTGTATGTCTAAGTCTTACAATGTGGAAAGCAGTTAAGTATTGATTATAAAGTTCAGGTTTTCCAGATAGTCCTGGCTGGACTATGAAACGTGTCGTCCCTTAGTCGGCTCTTTTGACACTTACAGAAGGATGAAAGGTAGAATAAATGTAGGTCTTTCTTTGCTGTTACCAAACAAAGTTTAAGTATGGAAGAGCCATGCTTCGGCACGAATGGGCCGGCTCGACTGGAATGATACCACGGCCTCACAGCAAACCGACGTGAAGCAACGCTTGCGTTGTGTTTCGTCGTTTGAGTGAGGTTACCGGAGGCCCAATTACCCTCCCCTTCCCCAATCTCCCCAATTCCTGAATCTCCAACGATCCTTAAACTCCTGATCCCCAAAAGGCCTGTAACGCACTTGTAATGCTTTTGGTGTTCCAGGACGACGCCGGTCGCTTACCATCAGGTGATCCGTCTGTTCGTTTACCGGCTTATGCCATAAAAAAACAGCTTTTTTTAAGTAAATTAAAAACCCATAATTAATATTGGAGTTTAAACAGCAAATAACAAAATAATTCGTCGTAATTATTTTACGGAACTGATTACTTCAAAATACTTCAGGGCTTAATACTGTAAACCAGTATTTTCTTCATGGCGGTCGAACCTTGACCCAGTAACGGTTCTTATGTTCCGCATCAGAAGGTGCCAACTGAATCTATTAGTGCAGTAAGCTTATTACCCGGCTTGTTATTTTGTTATCATAGCGTATACTAATTAGGTATAATGTACTCCATTAAATACTTAGTGGTAAGATGCACGTAATCATACAATGGGGATATACAACATTCGCAGGACTGTATGAGTATGGCTTGTCAAAATTCAACAGATTTGTGATTAAATAGTTAAACACAAAAAAGAAAGAAAGGCTATTGGCTTTTAAGTAGTATTTATATACGACTTAAAAAGGGAGGTTCTCAGTTTCACCTGTGTGTTGTTGTAGAGCTGTACGTTTGGCTGAACCGATTTTCAGAAAAGTATTTGTAAAACTTTTTTTGAGGGCGAAAGTCATCCAACGACTTCTCTCACCCGGGTGAGAAGGAGTGTCGGACTCTTACTGAAGGCCCATTTTATTTACTTTCACAATATTCATTTGATTGAAAAAGCTTTGTAGGAAAAGTTCGTATGAATTTAACCCATTTATTTATCAACGTATTCCTCTCAATGTCCCAATCACCTGCCACCTAAAATCACCCCTAATCACAACGCAATAAAACTAAATTTCCAAACCCAAACAGCTCCCCATTTTATCCAGTCCACGTGAGCATAACATACAAAAGTACTGCCAACGAGGGGGGCACGTGCTTATGACGTCACGACAACGTGCAGATCCTGTGAAGCTGGAAACGTGACATTTCGTAACTATATTTGTTGGTACTTGTTGACCTTGACCATTTTGACTAGACCCTCGAAGAAAAATTTTGTTTGAGTTAGTATCGTTGGTGGAATGGTTAGGAGTACGGTAACTGGAGTGGTGTTAGGTTTTGTTAAGTTTTCGATATTAGAAATTAGTTCAGTCATAACTGACTGCCTCGTTAGCCGAGTGGTCGCAAGTGCGCTTTCGGGATCTCGCGTTCGATTGCTGCAAGCAAAGTATTGCTGAGTTTAGAAAAAATCTTAGTAGTAGCACGAAGTCTGGAATTGTGCCCGGATATGGCAATAGGCTCACCCCCTAGTAGGTACATAGGACTTATAACATAAATAGTTAAAAGTGGTTCTTACATTGTACAGTAGCATTAAGTGCCGTAATGTGGCCTACTGCCTGATGAAAAACATGATGATTCAAGTCATAATTTAAGTCTTCATAACAGATGCTACGTCGTAATAGGAGAATATGTACATACCTTTATTTATCATCACCCTTCAGGTCCTGATGATTAAGATACGGTCAAAGGTCAAAAGACTACTATCGGTTGCGCTGCAGCGCTTATACTCACATGCACACGCATATTTTTATCCGTGTGTGTGTTTATGCGTACACACGCGTTTTTATGCACATTAATATGAAATTGCTTACGCATTGCCGTGTGAACATCACTCACAGTGGCAGTGGACTTATGACCTTTTACTGTACCAATCAAAGGGACCGAGCACCAGTGCTCTCTGGTAAACCTGAGCTTTTTAATTTGCGATGTCTTGCCACACCTGGCACGTAGTAGGCGGGTATTATGGCAATAGAGGAGAGCTATAGTGTAAGAGGATTTTCATAGACTAGCGATGAATTGTACATATGTCATATCTTCCGGAACAGACCCTGACCTGAAAAAGAAACTCTTGATGTTCAATTATTCACTGTCTTCAATATGCGACATTATATTTAATTAATTAACAGTCATCCCAAAAAATTCAAGTCTTTTTCGTTAGCATCATGTAACCGTTCATTATTTTTGCACACGACACGTGTCACATCGCGTCATTACACATGATGACGTCACACCCAGCCGGATGTTATGGGAGATGTAGGTCACTGCCAGCAGTATCGGCTTCGGATTTATCGTCGAATTATGACGTACACCCTATTTATGGAGGTACTAAGAGATTTACACCGAGATGCGTAAACTGAATTTGGGTTTAAGAATCGGCGTATGGTAATGTAAAAGATTTTCATTTCTTTTTTATGACATAATCTGGTAAACGAGCAGACGGATCACCTGTAAACCGGTAAGCAATCGGCGCCGCCCATGGACACCTGAAACACAAAGGCTTTACAAATGCGTTATTGGCCTTTTGGGAATTGGGAATTTGAGGATTGTGGAGGATTCGGGGATTAGGGAGACTGGGTAGGGGTAATTGGGCCTCTGGTAACCTCACTCACACGACGAAACACACCGCGAGCATTGTTTCACGTCGGTTTTCTGGGAGGCCGTGGTATCATTCTAGTCGAGCCGGCCCATTCGTGCGGAAGCATTGCTTTCCCACTCTTAACACGTTAAACGGCCATGGGGTCACCGATGACCGACTTAGCGGACGGTTTGGCTTCAACAGTTCAACATAAAACAAAGAGCTATCAAAAGATTTTTTTTAAAATGGAACTTACAGATTCAGGGAATAATTAACTTTAACTTTGAATATAATATTCAGAAAAATAAAGACTGTGTTATAATGTGACTCTGTGTTATTGGTGACAAAAAAAACGATCCAAATATTTACTTTACTCAATAACGAACTTAAAGCTTCTACTCCACAATTATGTATCCAACGACTCGATCATCGTGCCAGCCGATTATCAAATTGTTGACTTCATGACTTACAGAACATATTTTCTTTGGTTACAGAAGCCCTGAAGCTGTACGGAGACAGGTTATCAGAATGGGAGAGGAATGAAGTCAGGAAGTACCCTGAGGTGTGGTTCCTGGGGCTGGACTCCAACAAGGTGCAGGCGCGCGCCAACCTGCCCAACAACTGCGGGTTTGATGACGAGAATGGTAGCTATAATAAGGTAAGAGTCCTTTTTATGATATGAGAAGTTACTTCTCACCTCGTTGGCCGAGTGGTCGCATGTGCGACTGCCGGGCAAGGGGTCTCGGGTTGGATTTCCGGGTCGGGCAAAGTATTACTGGGTTTTTAATTCTTAGTAGTAGCACGGAGTCTGGAATTGTGCCCGGTATATGGCAATGGGCTCACCCCCTATTACATGGGACTCATAACATAAATAGTGAAAAGTGGGTGTTACATTGTACAGGGACATTATGTCCCGGAATGTGCACCTTTGTCTACCTCTTTGGGGGTAAAAAGCGTGATGTTATGTTATGTTAGAGATGTAAAAGGTCAGTCGGACTCTTGATGCTAAGCAATTAGAGTTACCCAAGGACAACCGCAGCACCAAAAAAAGGAGTACAATTTTTTTTAACTGTTGTCATAGTCTGCTTTAAAAATGTGATAATAAAAATTTATCAGTCCATAATCCATTCCATAAACGTTTGTATCAAGAATTCGAATTGATTGAAAGCTAATTAAAAAACAAAACCTTTTTTAACCAAATAATTAATAAAAAAAAGTCGTCCGGATCAGGGCCAACAAAAAATAAAGTATTCAAATGGAATTTTAAATAGGATTCTGAACCTTACCTAATGGGAATAACGAGATCAGAATTTTATACTAAATTAATTGTTCAAGACCCGGGCATTGAATTTCAATATAAAGGAATTCGCTTTATCGTCTAAAAATGTTGTCCCGAGCCGCCATTTTAATATTTCATATTGTAATTTCGCTTTATGGTGGCTTATGAAACGTTTATTTACATATTATATCATTTTACTAAGTACCTATCGTTTTTATAAGTAATTCCTGATGTGAAACGAGTATGATGATGTAAAATTTCTATAAAATGAGATCTTGACAAATCACCTCCTGAATAAACTGGCTAGATAACAAACTATCTGTAACTGTTTTCCGCAAAAGTTATTACACGAAAAAATATAATAACATAATACCCACTACCTTTACAAGGTACTTCATACATTTTTTAAGAACTTGTATTAAACTGCAAGTTATACGTTATATAGTAGTTGCATTCACTAATAAATGAGATAAGTACGGTCACATGACAAAAGTCCACTGCCACCGTAAGACTACGATTGGTTGCGCTGCAGCGCTTATACACACATGCACACGCATATTTTTATCCGTGTGCGTACGCGTGCGGGTGTTTATGCGTACACACGCGTTTTTATGCACATTATATGAAATTACTTACGCATTGCCGCGTAAACATCACTCACGGTGGCAGTGGATTTTTGACTGTACATCTCTCATTTGGTATTCGTGAACCTATCATCAGGCGTTCGAACTAACTAACTAAAAATTATTATTATAACTAAAAAGTCGGGATATTTAACCTTTCCTTCTATTCAAAGCTCTAATTTTTCACAATAGTATGCACCTTCTACAAGCAGGCAAAGCTTAATAATTAAAAACTTTCAGCCCGTCCATTAGCTACGAGCTCGCAGATAATTTATTATTATGATCATGCTTGAATTCCTTGAAGAAAGAAGGGAGATAAAGGATAGTCAGTGGAGTACCGAGCTACTAAGTATTTGAGAATTTTTGAAATCTAAAAGTGTAATACTTAGATCGGATAGATCTTAGACAAATGACCTACAGGTAAACACTAGTCGAACGAATGAACAGAAAAGTTAATGTACAGTGGCCATCAAGCTATTTCAATGTATCAAATTTTGTTTTTGTTTTTCGACTTTATATCTAAATGATAGAGTTGAAAATGTAATAAGGACATTTTACAGAAAAGAGGAGGTTGACCTGCTACCGGTTGTACAGTGGGTAGAGGAGGTATCTCCAGGCTTATACTGAAATAGGACAAAATTATGTCAATTAGCTTTAAACCGGGGTCGAATCGATAAATGGGACTAGAAAAGAAACCTGTATCTCCAGTACAACATATATTACCTCTATACTATCTATATACCAAAGCAAACAATTATTTTATCTACCTTCTATGTGTAACAAACACTTTTCTGAAAATCACATTAAAATCGGTTCAGCCAATCACGAGATAAATGCGCACGAATATACATACACACATACAGGGCAAACCCTATTCCTCCTTATTTTAAGTCGGTTAAAAAACAATATCCTTCCTACAGTCAGGTAAAAAACAACAATTGGGTATTAGACTAAGGACTCACGGCGCGATCTTCTGCGGCGGAATGGAGGCTGCAAACTTGGCGGTTCGATTCGATTGCGATCGCCCGCCTACCGATCGCAGAGCGCACGGTAGGCAAATTAGAAAGCCTTAGAAAATTGTCGCGGAGAACCTAACGGGTTACCGGGGCTCCGGTTCGAAGTGCAGGAGTAGGAACGGGGTGGTTTTTAGTTAGTAAGAGTCTAACACTCTTCTTGTTCATTCAATTCATTACATTGATTTTCCCCCCTTAAAAAAAGCCTAAGAAAATTAAATAAATGAACAACACAAAACTTACGACGTTATGTCATTAAACTTGCTAACCATATGATATTATTTATTACATTACCATAAAACCATAGTTAGATTTTTAAACTGTGTAAGTGTATGCCATCAAATTAGTTTCACTTCATCACTAATGGGACTGGTAATTGGCTTTTAGGCAGCTAATTGGACAATTTGGTTAAAAACATACGTTTAGTAGTATACCTTATGACGTCTGTGTGTGCTGTACAAATGTACAAACACACACGCTGTAAAAAGCTCTATTAGGTTCTAATAATACGCTTCTATTAGTTTTCTTATGGGATACGCCGGTAAACGAGCAGGCGGATCACCTGATGGTAAGCCAGTGTTTCACGCCGGTTTTCTGTGAGGCCGTGTATCATAAGCTCTCCCACACGGATAATTACGTCAAAAATCTTCGAACTATGTAATAAAATTTAGGAATCGAAATTGCACACACTTCTTATTGTTGTATTATTCTAAAAGTCGGCAGTTATGTGTAGATTAGATGACCATTATATAACATTATGGTATAATCGAGCTGGGCTGGTGATCGAATTCAAATGGAGCCTTGACTGCCAGCCCATAAATATACCGAGTTTGGGCTCATTAAGTACATAGTTAGGTCCATTTCACCTGTACATGATTGTTGTTTTTAATCGACTTCAAAAAAGAAGTAGCTAGGTTCTCAGTTTGACCTGTATGTATGTTTCTTGTTGGCGACTATCTCGCGATTGGCTGAACTGATTTTGATGCGGTTATCAGAAAAGTGTTTCTTATACATAGGTTTTAGAATTTTAAAAAGAGGGAGTTAAAGGCAGGGTTTTTAACGTGTTTATTAAAGAATTTAAACTAAAGAAAATTATTCTTTAGTCTAAAAGTACCAATGCCTAGTTATTACTTTCCTAAACTTAATTTTAATAACGTTTTTATTAAACTTGCCCAGTTTGTTAATTTATTTATAGCGTATTGTTATGATAAGTATTTCAAATGAGACTGCTCTAGTAGTCTGATTCTCAGATAAGATGTGTTTCGTACATGTAGTTTCTATTTCGAAAACCTTATAGCTCATTATGACGAATGATTCTGGGCAAATGTACTTAACTACCTATACAATATGGCAATAGACAATGTATGCTTTATAATTAAATGAGAATTTATTACGCATTTACTTGCTACTACTTCGAAACTGGACTACAGTGGCATGAAATTAAATGCACGGTTGGCGCGGTCGTTGGGAACCTGACTGCCGCGCAACGTGTTGTGAGTTCGATTCCCGCACGTAACAACTCTTTGTGTGATCCACAGATTGTTGTTTCGGGTCTGGGTGTCATGTGTATATGAACTTGTATGTTTGTAAACGCACCCACGATACAGGAGAAAATCCTAGTGTGGGGCAACGTTTTATTAAAAAAAAAAATAGAGACAAGTAGAATACTTTCGAGGAGGCCTTTACCCAAATAGGGGTTCTTACAGGATCCAAACTAAGCAACACTAATAATAGACTAGTAGTTTAATTTACACTAACACTAACACACTTACGAATGGAGTTTCTTGCTCGTTCTTCTCCATTCGGATCTACATTTTGGAAGGAGCACCTAGCTTCACCTAGCTTCACTGACGGACTGACTGACAGACTATTATTTATTTTGTATTTGTTGACGTTTCAAAAGTACCAAATTATGGTTTAATTGTAATAAATGTTTTGACTTTGACTTTCAAGACAAAAAAGTAAATTTAACTGTAAGAAATAAATGGATTTTTAATTTTTCTTATTTTTTTATTACTTCGAATCTGTGATGACAATTCTATTATTATAATTTATCAATATCTTCTTTTATCTTCTATATCGTAAAAGACAGTCGTGTTAGTTACATACACTATTTATAACTCAAGACCAACTTAACCAATTTGGCTGAAAGATAGATCAAAGGTAGTAATTGACGGACTCAATAGGTAGAATTATAAAATGAAATTTTTATCCAATGTAACATAACATAACATCACGCCTTTTATCCCCGAAGGGGTAGGGAAAAGTGCACATTACGGCACGTAATGCCATTGTACAATGTAACACCCACTTTTCACTATTTATGTTATGAGTCTCATGTAATAGGAGTGAGCCTATTGGCATATACCGGGCACAATTCCAGACTCCGTGCTACTACTGAGAGTTTTTAAAAACCCAGTAATACTTTGCCCGACCCGGGAATCGAACCCGAGACCCCTCGCCCGACAGTCACACTTGCGACCACTCGGCCAACGAGGCAGTTTATCCAATGTATATATCCCGAAAAAACGAGCCACGAAGCCGACTTCGTGCTCCCGAGGGCAAAACCTAGTTATATAGTAAATAAAATGTGGTCTACTTCATTTAACATACCTAAAGATATTTATGTGAACATCTTATACTATTATATAAAACGGAAGAGTTTGTTTTTTTTGTTTGAACGCGCTAATCTCCGTAACTACAAGTCGTATGCTATGTGCTATTCAATATAATTATTTTTATATTGAATAGCACATTAATATCGAGGATAGCTATAGGCTATAAAACATCACGCTACGACCAATAGGAGCTGAGCAGAGTGTGTGAAATCGCGCGGAAGTACCTAGTAAGAAATAAATTCGTAAAACCTGCACCATCAGCCGTCTTTTAAAAGCCGTTGTCGTACACATCATTATTAACTTGTTAATACTTTAACTGCCAACTTTAAAACGATGAAAGTCAAACCTCCACTAGCGTCAGGCACCGGTGACTGACATGGCAGTCTAAGGGTTAACCCTTAACACTGAACATCACAATATGTAAGTTTGAAAGCAAAATATTGTATGTATGTAAAGAAGATTTCTATTTACTTTCCAATACTGTAGTAATTTACTATTATAATATTGAAGCTCAATATGGTAAGCACTTACCATTCACCTGCCAGACGATTAACAAAGAAATTGTTCATAATGACCGCTTTAGGAAAATTTCAATGCAAGATTACGATCAATTAGATGAAAATATCGAACTAAATGAGATGACCTGACTTTCGAGGTTGAGGTCTGCGGTTACTTATTATTGAGTTATTTAATCATGTAATAACAGAGAATCTGAGACCACCTGGGTCTATTCCTTGATTTCGACTGTTTAATACAATGAAACTTTAAAAAATAATCACACTTTCATTAATTGATTTTATGACCATCTCAATTTTAGTATAATTTAGCAAATCTTTAAGAAATAAGTACGCTATTTGACGCTAAAAAAATGTGACGTCACAATTACGAAATTCATAGAAAACTGTCGTTTTTGACAGTTTGAAAAACGTATTGAATTTGACTAGTAGTTACATTCCATATTGTCTCGCTCTGTAACCGCTCCAAAAAGTGACTCATGGATTTAAACTTTTATCTAGCTCTAGGCAAAATAAAAAGTGTTAGGCACAATGTTATGTTTGGATCAAAAATACAAATACAACATTCGAAACACCTCCTCATTTTCTAATCCTCGTATTTCTATCTTTTCAGCAAATCCACGACCACATAGCCTATAGATATGAGATTCTCGAAGTGATCGGCAAAGGATCCTTTGGCCAGGTCATCAGGGCTCAAGACCACCGCACAGGGACGCAGGTCGCGATCAAGATCATCAGGAATAAGAAGCGGTTCCATCATCAGGCGCTGGTGGAAGTGAGAGTGCTGGATCATCTCCGGTTGAAGGATAAGGACCAAGCCCACAACGTGATTCATATGCTCGACTATTTCTACTTTAGAAACCATCTTTGCATCAGTTTTGAACTTATGAGGTGAGGATCATGACCCATGTTACTTTTTCAGTTACCCATAACTGATGGTTGTAGGGATTCCCCTTCTTGTTGTCTTGTTGATTTATAATTTTAGACCTTGATATTAAGGACAGTAGTGCAAAAAGTAATGCCAATTTAGAGGCATGTGAGGTGTATGATGGAAAAGAGTCAAGTAAGCAAGATGCTCTAACCAAAACTTCTTTACTGAAGGCAAAGTTTGGTCGTATCCCCCACAATCCTCAAATTCCACATCCCAAAAGGCCGGTAACGCATTTGTAACACCCCTGGTTTTTCTGGTGTCCATAGGCGACGCTGATTGTTTACCATCAGGTCATCAGCCTCGGCTTATCCCATAAAAAAGCAAGCCTACCTTAACTACTCCCCTAATCTATCTTTAAGATTTACTATTTTACTTCCAAACACGGCTACGCAACTCTTCAAATTTTTTAGTCAATTAACAAAATGCATTTCTATTTCCAGTATCAACTTGTACGAGCTAATCAAGAAGAACAACTACCAAGGGTTCAGCCTGAGCCTCATCAGGAGGTTCGCGAGTTCCCTCCTCCGATGCCTCAGGCTGCTGGAAGGGGAGAACATCATACACTGTGACCTCAAACCAGTGAGTATTTGACCTCTCCACTTCTATTTATAGATCAGTATGAACATTATGCACCTCATTGAACAGTTTAATTGTCAGGTCATGTATGGTGATGTTTTTTTTAATTTTTGGTTTTAACTTTTGCGGTTCGATACTCCTGCTAATGAAGTAGAAATGAGTGTTGAAGTTTTTCTTTAAAATAAATGTTTAATTTTGATATTATTCGATGTGTAATATATATCATTTTGTAAGACAACCTAAAGAAAGTAAAGTTTTTATTCTTTTAGTATTTATACTCAACTGCGCGACGCAAATGATGCTAATTATTATCAATCTAAATTTTATTCGAATGGGAATAAACTAAGTGAGTCCCATTTTCTTATCTTAAGATTACATGAAATTCTGCTGTCCTTAGTAATACTACTTTATGGAGAACTTATTGATTTCTTTAAAGAAATACTTATCTAATTGATATATTATATTCTTCCAGGAGAACATTCTACTAAAAGCGAGAGGCAGTTCCTCAATCAAGGTGATTGACTTCGGGAGCTCTTGCTACACACATGCGCGGGTCTACACCTACATACAGTCGAGGTTCTACCGTAGCCCTGAGGTTATACTGGGCTTGCAGTACGGGACACCTATCGACATGTGGAGCATGGGTGAGTGCTATGACTCAGTTCTATGCGTCATACTCGTTTTTATGGGTTGTCACATAACGGATAGACAGATGTACACCTTTGTATATGCCCATTGTAAAATTATTTGTCGCAACGCAACGGGTCGAACTAGAAGTCCTTAATTTAGGCCCGTCCAGCAGAGGACGGCTCGTAGCTTATCATGATTATTACAAAGAAACTTTTAACTGTTTGTTTTTTGTTCTAGTTAATTTATTTTAATATGATGTTCATTTATGTGATTGTTCTTCTTTTTCTGATATTGTAACTGTTTGATTCTTTTTATTTTCTTTGTGTGTGTGTGTGTGTTACTGTTATTGGTGTATAACCGTGTTAACATAACAATGATCTATTTAAATAAAAAATAATTTCCGTTTGTTAGTCTCGCTAATTTTATTCTAATATTTGAAATCGCCAACCCACATTGAGCAAGCGTGGTGATTAATGCTCAAACATTCTCCGTGTGAGAAGAAGCTTTGCTCAACAGTGGGCATTTATAGGCTGTTGATGACGATGATGAATAGCAACTTTACCATATTCTTAGATTTACCCTTTGCCTAATAGTCATAAATTTCCTCTAACCATTGTGTCGTAATATTCTTATTCTACACCGGTGTTCGTCCCAATTATTAATTAAGCACTAGGTATATATTTACCTATTACAAATACCTTTTAAAACATTATATAATTCTTTTAACAAGCGTTTGTATAAAATAGTGATGGACCTCAACCCAATTGTGTAACGTATGATAATTATATTTGACACAGTATTGAAATAGTTAACTTTGTAAATATATGTTTCTTGTTGTTATTTAATTTTGATTGGTATTGTCAATTTCAACGGTAGATGCTGACATTTATTGTGTCTTCGTGGATGTGATTGTTAGTGCTATAACATTAACTAGGTCTCTGATTTAATGTCTAGGGCGGAGAGCATCATTGTTACTTTTTCGTGAATTATTTGTTTTATTTTATTTTATTTTATTTATTTATTAATGCACAACACATAACAGGTGAACAAATTTACAAATAAATTACAGGTATATAAATAGGTATTATTCTTATAAGGGAATTGATAAATAGTGAAAGAACTCCGTACAGTAAGTAATATCCAGACAAATGTTTTAAGTTTTAACTCTATGCTTAATCATTTATTTAAAAAAAAACTACAATTCTAAGAAATATCATAGCAATAATTATTTATGGCAGCACACAGGTCTATAAAAATCCGTGGATAATTCTAAAGCTTATAAAATTGAGACCCAGTAACATTTTACTACTGAAAGCAGTTCTATTAACAATAGCTTTCAAGGAAATTAACTCAACAAATCTAGAGAAAGTAGTGATTACTATTATCTTACACAGAATACTACTTTAGCTTCAATACCGTCAAACTGGATCAGGACTGACCATTAAACCTGCGAATAATCATAAACATAAACAAAACGAGAACTAAAACATAACATATAATTGAAGACATAAGTAAGATCTATCGTTGGTTTGAGCACGATTCATTCTCCCACATTGCATGCATTGGTAGTCTAAAAAATTGCAAGTCTTTTAACAGGTGCCTGAGTTGGTAGTAGAGTAAGTCAAAGTTAATTTACACCGACACTAATTCACACTGTTTCTTTGGTTATTAATAATTAATTTGTAAACGTTTTCTTATTAGAACTGTAGTAACTGAGTGAAAGACAATGTTGAAATGAAATGAAATGATATTTATTTCTGTAAATAGGTTACAAAATAACACATTTACACGTCAATCTATAAATTACTACATGCGGGCCGGCATTTCCTAACTGACTACTCTGAGAAGAGACGCCGAAACAAACTCAGTCTGTTGTATCTAGATTCATATTTATAGGTGACAAAATAACTTTAGCTGTTCCTCAGCCAAAAAATATCACATATTATACAAAGCACATAATTAAAATCTATTCATTCGCAAAAAAACTTCAACTTTGTAGCACTAACCGTGCTGTCATTGACCGTACAAGAGCGTCCGCGTCACAATCCTTAACTATAGAAAGTGAGGGAGAAAGGTGACCCCATGATTCGCACAGCAGACATCGACACTAAGGAATGCAACCTTTACGCAACTTATGATCGACGGTACTGCCTACCAACAGTATTGCTCATCACTTATCTTAAAAAAAAATCATAAATAGTCGAGTAAATTATTATTAAGTACAGCTTGGCAAAAAAGAGTTTGAAACTAAAACTGAAAAAAAGAAAAAAAAAAAAAAAATAGTATGAAAACCGGTTGGGTCATAGTGTACCAGGTCGCCACAGGTACGATATAGCGACCTCAATTATTCTAAAGTCTGTTTTGCCAAGCTGTACTTGTAATTTACCAATTTTTAAATGATAGTATTTTAAACGACAATCTACATTGGTCCTAGGATGCATCCTAGCGGAACTCCACACGGGTTACCCCCTGTTCCCGGGCGAGAATGAATCAGAACAGCTGGCTTGCATCATGGAGCTGCTTGGACCACCTCCCCCAGACCTGCTGCTGCATGCTACAAGGAAGAGATTGTTCTTTGGTGAGATAATCTTTTTCATATTGGTTCTTGAAGGATTCTGATCTATTTCTATTTATTGCCTTTAAACTATTTCATGGCATTAGACCTAAACGTGTCTTATATCTTTCAATTTTATGCAGACTCAAAAGGCTGCCCCCGCAGCATCACCAACTCTAAGGGCCGCAAGCGGAGGCCTGGCACCAGAGCGCTCACCACCATCGTGAGGTCAGACGACCCTGCCTTCCTGCACTTCTTGCACAGATGTCTTGAGTAAGTCTTCTTTCATAAGCTATTTAAACTACTTTGTTTCGTATCTACTTGATTTTAGGTCTAATTTTGGGAAATATTTAGTCAACAATGACGAAGTTAATAATCATTGAACAGTGCTACTATTGTTCTAATTACCTACTTCAATTTCTATTTAATAACAAGCTACGTACTCCATCTATAAAACAGTGTCAAAGGTCAAATAGCTCTCGTAATACCGTGTTTAGGAAATAAGTAATCCTCTTTCTCTTATTTGCATTACAGTTGCGTGTAACACATTTACATACATTCAAATTTAATTGCCCCACCAGCAATCCCTTTACAATCATCTTCAATACATTTGCTGCTTACTTTTACATCATTATCTATTGCCATGGCAATAAAGTCCTCTGCGAGTGTGCAACGTTACTGCCAGTTATATCATTCTACTTGCCACATCACTTAATTTCAATTATAAGTAATAGAATGTTGTAAATAGCCACAATCAGTGTGCCATAAAATCCGTAGCGGTATTCTAAATAACAAAATTATAGCAGATTTCCAAAGTGTAAATGATTGAAATTATTTTGAGGCAACTGTACGGCGCTATGTTAAATGATTACCACGTTACGTTAAAGTTTTATTACGTTTTTATGTTCTGTGTTAGTTCCTAAGTAGTTTTTATCTAGTCCGTTGCTGAATAACCTAGATTGATTAATTGATTACGTTGAAAGATATCTTGATTAGTCAAAGCTCTGATAATTATGGGATAATCACTTGTTAAATCTAGTTCGAGGTGACAATATATTAAGTTCGTGAAACTTTTACAAATTGCATTGTGTATCTAATTGCATTACAATTTTTATTAGCTTTATAATAATAAAAGGGAAAGTATAAATAAATAATAGTTTTTCGATAAAACTAAATCCTATCAAACCATCATCGTTTTTGGTTATCACACCATGAGAATCTTCTAAACTCCAACTTCCTCAAACCATAAAAATAAAACGCCGCTTCCATTGAAACATTACAATGAATCAAATCATGATGTGCCACGTCCAATCCCAAATTATTGTCCAAACGTTTGATATTACGTATAAACTCTTGGCGTTCCACGCCTATCTCAATTTCCCACACTAGACCGAGATCGTTCGTTATATTAGTCGTAGCGATGGGAAAGCAATGATGTGCTTGCGCAATCATGCGAATACCGCGCATTCAACGCTCGCTCAATGGGAAGACGTCATCTCCAACCGTATTAGATAGTGCTGCAAAAACTGCCTCTTTATCTCGATGTTTATCTATGCTTCCATTTCTGGAGGTTAAGAATTCCGTGTCAGATGTTGCAATGTTTTATGTCCTCTAAGATTATCTATTATTATGAATTCGTCGTGGAATTTCAAGGAAGATTATTTACTGACTTATGCAGTCACATCAGCATCAATGTTGTGTTTAATCGTCAAATTGCTGTGATTATTGCTTGTAAAAACCTAATTATGCTTAGCCAAAATCACCACGTTTCTCAATTCAATCCTAACCTTTGACCTAGTGTGTTGTATGGAATTCCTATCAGTATGACCGTGCGTTAATAGTATATCATTTTGAAATTGTTTGAGTATTCGATTAATATTATTAACTCTGTCCTACATATTGACTTTGATGGTATGTGATTAATCAATGTTTTGCTGATGTGATTTATTCTGATTGTCTGATTGGGTTTGCTACCAAATCGTGTAATTGGCTTGGGTCGTTCTATTTGCAATAAATATTTTATATTAGTATATGTATACTGCAATGAGTAGCTACATTTTATTTCATAATGGTAATTTCGGTTTTGGGAAGGTCTTCAACATTCCTAATAATTTTAAAGATACACTTACTCGTTTTATGAAGAGCAACAGGTTTTTCGCACACACAATATAATCAAATGTTACACAATGCGCCTCGTCTTCGTCTAACGTATGCAAAATTCGGACGCTACCATTGATTCCATTTCCTGAGGCATCCATTCCATATGCGGTTTCTAATTTATATAACAAACTATTATCAATGTTTGTAGAAAGTATTGAAAAACCTGTTTCTTTTAGCCGGTTTGATCGGTAAGTGAACTTATCTGATGCCTTTTCTTTCCTTATTGGATGATTTTAACTTATTATTTGATGTTTCCTGACGTCTTCCTGCCTTCTGTTTGTCTGTTTGGTGTTTATCGTGGGCTGATGTAAGCTTTACGGTAGGTACAAGTTTTATGTATTCAAAGAGATGGGTTGAAGACAGACTTGTGTTTGATATCTTAACGCCTGAATACTGAAAGACTACTCGATTTTAAATTGTACTTAAATATCGTGCCGTCTCTGTCGTTTTACGAAGAATTTGTAGTGCTGTCACTATACAAAAGCGTGACTTAAAAGATAAAATAATAAATAAATTATTACTGTTAGTGTCAAATAGAACAATATACTACTATATACTGAAATCGGTAATTATATCTTAACGTGATCAGTAAATCATCATTAATTGTTCATACAACATTGTACCATTCGTCTGTCCAATAATGGAATGCAAGAGATTAGCCATGTTTCACGCAAACGTAAAATCCTCGTCAGAAAGATGGACACGTGCGATTCATACATTACCATAAACACCATGACATAACATGCGACAATTCCACCCATAATGAAAACCCAACCATCTGTGAACTGCTAACACAAGTAATCCAAACACATATGCTAATGCTCACACATTTGCGTAACAAACTTAATAATGCACTCACAGAAATAGAAAGTGAACTCAAAAACAATGAACATAAGGTGGGAAATGAAATAGTTGGATACAAAATAAAGGTTGGAAGATGACAGAAATAAGAATATGACTTTCTCCAAGTTCACACCTCTTTGCTGTAACGTCAAGTGCGAGGCGGAATGGGAAGTGATGAGGCTGTCTAGCTGATGTCTTTGCCTTGATCGGATCAGATTTTTTTAGAACATCAGAAATTTTGAAATGTGACGTCAGTATTTGTGGTTGGTTCTATAGTTGCATCGGCCAATGATCGTGAAGCGAACGCTGAGCAAGGGTCTTCGATTGGATTTTCTGATCAGACAAAATGCATCAATTTTTAGTCGAATATTGAACAATAGCCGGTACAGATTCGATGAAAAGAGTTTCAAACTCAAACTCAAACTCAAAAGCATTTATTTCAATTAAACCATAATTTGGTACTTTTGAAACGTCAACAAATATGAGATATATAATAGTCTGTCAGTCTGTCCGTCAGTGAAGCTAAGCGTATTTCAATAATCATTCATATAATTTTATCATATTTTCATCTTCATCATCATTAATTCATATCTTATCGTCATTCAATAATAATTTTATAACGTCTGTGCGATTATCGACAAACCCCATAAAAAAATTAAGTTTCTAAAATTGTTCCTGGTATAAGACAATAATGCATGCCTCTTAGGGGATTACGTTACCTTTTACGTTCGTCTTCGGAATTTTAAAACGTCGGAAGTTTTGTCTTTTTTATGGTCACGTTAATGAAATGTTATACATTTGCCTATTGCCTAACCTTTAGGTTCGTAACATTTTAAGTGTTATTTTATTCATGTATGCAAAATTTTCAAAATGTTAGAAATTTACTACTACCTTAAAATTGCTACCAATCAGCTTAAACACTGAACTATTATGTTACGAGCGATTTTAGCATAAAAATACGTTAGTTTACATAATATTTGGTACAATTTTTACAAACAGTTAGTGGCCTATTTCTAAAGTATTTAGACGTACCATTTCATAAGAGAAACTTAAAAAAACTAAACAACTGGTTATATTTTTCATTGTCATCATGTAACGTCAACAAACAAATCTCCGTTTTATTTACTACAGTGTTCATTATAGGGTAGTTTCCTAAATTGTCTATAATGTCTGTCTGGTAGATTATTTT